TGAAAACTTCGATTCCAAGTATATAATTGGGATCGGGGGTTGTGGAACAGTCTATCGAGCCGAATTACCAACCGGTGAAATAGTCGCTGTGAAAAAGTTTAACACACAAGAAGACAACAAGTTGCGGGATGTTAAAGGTTTTGAGAATGAGATCCGTGCATTGACCGAAACCCGACATGTTAACATCGTGAAGCTTTATGGCTTTTGTTCGCATCCACGACACGTGTTTTTGGTGTATAAGTTCATAGATGGTGGAAGTTTAAGAACGATACTAAATGATGCCGAAAAAGCCAAAGAATTTGATTGGTGCAAGAGGTTGAATGCAATCAAAGGTGTTGCGGATGCATTGTCGTATATGCATCATGATTGTTTGGAACCGATAGTTCATAGAGATTTATCGAGTGGTAATATTTTGTTTGATTCGGGGTATATTGCTCACTTGTCGGATTTTGGCACGGCTAAGTTTTTGAAGGCTGGTTCGTCGAACTGGACTTCTTTCGCAGGAACTTACGGTTATAGTGCTCCAGGTATGAAGCAAAAAGATACATATATGTATTAAACACAATATACATATACATACATGTATAGGCATAATGTATGAAATTATGCACAAGCACAATCTCATACATATAAGTACATATTTACGGATTTACATACAAATATGTAAATCAGTAAATATATATGTATTAGCAACCAGACACATCCATGTCCATCAAGACAATGGATCCATGTCCATCAAGACAATGGATGTGTCTGGTAATGATACATGCATCATAAATACTAGTGTGCATCATACACATTGAGTCATATTGGGTTTGATGATCATGATTTCTTTGTATTTACATGCAGAATTAGCATATTCAATGGCGGTGACTGAGAAGTGTGATGTCTATAGCTTTGGGGTTCTAACACTAGAAGTGATAATGGGAAAGCATCCAGGAGATTTGACAATGTCAAGGTTAAGTGTTGAAGAGTTATCAAGACTGGTTGTTCTTGACCAACGACTTGTGCCCCCTACGGGTCAAGTTGTTGAAATTGTGAACGACGTTGTAGAGCTTGCTTTTGCATGTTTAAACGCAAATCCTCACTCTCGTCCATCGATGCTACAAGTTTCTATAAAACTATCAACAATTATAACTTTTATATTTAGATGATCTAGGTGTTAGAGAAAGATATGAGGTTATAACAGGTTTTTGATAATTAAGAATTTGACCAAATGGAAAGACCTCCAAAAGAAATGTAACGCTTTCAACTACATCTATAACTGTAAGATGAGCAATATGGCTAACGTGCTATAGCGGTGCTATTGCGGCGCTACAGCGTTTTGCAGTGTTACGGAACCGCTATTTGAAATAGCTTTTTACGAATAGCGGTGGCGTTATTAGCGGTGCTATTGACTGCTATTTACCGTGAATCTCATCGGCGTTATAGCGACGCTACACCCGCTTTTACAATTTTATGCATATTAGGCTACTTTGATAAAGAAAAAAAACGATTATGTGTTATTTCAATATTAAATCTTTATTTTTTTAACTAATCCACTAAACTTTTTGTCTTAATAAGTCTAAATAATAAATATAATTAATTACAAACTACAAAGTAACAAATGACAACTTCCATTCTCGTCTGGTTCAGTACCTAGATACCACAAACGACTTGAGCTATGATGATATTTTGGTCATTTTTAGTTTCCATATTACTATATTAAAATATTGTATATAGATTATGTCATGTTTTTATATAACTTTTTATGAATTATATAGTTTTAATAATCTAATATATAAATTTTGTATAAATATATAATATAAATTATACATAATATTAAAAAAAAAAAAAAAAAAAAAAAAAAAAAAAAAAACCGCTATATCATTGCTATACCACCACAATAACTGCGATTTCAAATAGCGGCATGTGACCGCTATTCAAATTTCGACTGCGATAATTATTAATCGGAGGTTTTCCTCATCAGCAAGCTTGGGAGTGGCTGAAAGACAACGATAAATAGGTAACGGTCACACCTGGTGAAGACTCTCCACCTCCTTCTAAACGAACCAAAATATCTTTATCCAACACCTACACATCATCTTGTGATCCACAAAATCCTCCAGGATTCTCCCTCCAACAACAACAACCGTTTATTGTTGAAGACTCACCGCCTCATAGAAAAAGAAAATGAAAAAAAAAAGTGACATTGGCATCATCAACAAAAAATGAAATCTTGGATCTCGTCAAACAAATTGTCGGAATCAAGATTGCAACCGAATTAGAGGCAGAACAGAGACAACGACATCGGGAATAAAAACTACGCATTCTCGAAGCTAATGAAGAACTAAAAGCTCAATTGTTGGATCGGAAGATAAAGAACCAATTTATGGAGTATTTTCTCTGATCGCATGATCATTTGACTAGAGGTATTTTGCGCAAAGTGCTTGAAAGGAAACAATAAAATGCAACTAAATATGGTTGAGAGTTTGAGAACCCGTGAAGTTTAAAATGCCGGCATCATTTGATTGGAGAATCTTTCTCTTTACTATTATGTTTTTTCCTTTTCCTTTTCTTTTTTATTAAGATCTCTATATGTACCATTGTTTCATCATCTATATATATATATATATATATATATATATATATATATATATATATATATATATATATATATATATATATATATATATATATATATATGTTTGTTCCATTTTCTCTCTATCTTTTCTCTCTTTTCAAAATGAATCCAAGCGTTCGGAAAATAGTAATGGAAGTTAACGATGATAGTTCATCATCTGAGGATGAACTTATCAAAAATTATTTGTTACTTGTATTGTCCCGTACTGCACAACTTCTTCTTCAAAATAATGTTAGTTCAAACAACATTCAAAGGAGAAACACAATCCACAAAGATCGTTTAGAGGCTGAAAGATTGTTGATCCAACATTATTTTGCGGATGATTTAACCTATGGTCACGCGCAATTCCGCAAAAGGTTTGTATGAGAAAATGTTTGTTTATGCAACTTGTTGGTGACATGGAGATAAATTTTCCTTATTTCAAACAACATGGGATGCAACAAATCAGAAAATTTTCAGTGCGCTACAAAAATACACACTAGCAATACGTCAATTAACGAATGGTTATAACCGAGACTTGTTAGATGAGTATCTGAATATGTCAAAAGAACTTTCTGTGAAGCTCTTGAAAACTTTTGCTACGGTGTTGTCCAAATGTATAAGGCTGAATATTTACGTCGTCCGACATCCAGTAACATTCAACTTTTATATGAAGCACATGAAGTTAGACAATGATTCCCTGGAATGCTTGAACACATTGAAATTTGAGGAATTGTCTAACGGAATTGAGAGGCCAATACATAAGGGTGACCATCGGTATCCATCAATTATACTGGAAGCGGTGACGTCACAAGATTTATGGTTTTGACATGTATTCTATGGTTTAGCTGGTTCGAACAATGATTTAAACGTCCCCTACCAATCACCGTTGTTTGATTGTTCCTTTTATCTAAATGACAAGCACTACAAGCATGACTACTATCTTACAGATGGAATATACATATCATGGGTTGTAATATATATATATATATATATATATATATATATATATATATATATATATATATATATATATATATATATATATATATATATATATATATATATAAGGGTATATAAGCTTAGGTACCCAAACTCACTATACTATATCGTTTTGTATCATATATATACATTGTAATTGTCCAATGTTCTTATAATTCAACTTCTAACTTGATTTACTTCCAAAAATTTTATCAATTTCACATTTATATTCCTCTTACATAATTTTCATTTTCAACAATAATATATATAGCCTAGTAGGTGTTCGGCAAAAAGACGTGATGTAAGAGGAAGATAGTAATGAAATATCGAAAATTTTGAAAGTAAATCAAATTAATAGTTGAAGTTTAATAACATTATAATGAATATATTAAATAAAATGACGTATTATAATGGGTTTAGGTACCTAAGCTTATATATTCTTATGGGTATATTCATTTTTCCATATATATATATATATATTAAATAAAATGACGTATTATAATGAGTTTAGGTACCTAAGCTTTATATATTCTTATGGGTATATTCACTTTTTCATATATATATATATATATATATATATATATATATATTTCAAAACGGCACAAGAATCAACAAGAAATGAACCACTTTAAAAACAAGAAATGAACCACTTTTAAAGGCATGCAAACCATTCAAAATTTTAAAGGGTGTTTGGCTAAGCTTATTTCAACTCATTTTTAAACTTATTACCAATTGCAACCGATATAAGTTAAAAGGAATGTTTGGATAAGAATAATTTACTAAGTTGTAATACCATAAATAAATCAAAATCTATAAGTAACTCCCTCTATCTTATTAGCTTATAAGTTGAAAAGTGCTTATGAAAAATCATTAGCTTAGCCAAACACCCCCTCAAGCACAAAATATTAAGTTCATTTCTCTAGAGTATTTGGATTGTTGGATTTCATGAGAGTTTCATATCGGCAAAATATATGTACTCTCTATAAGAAGTTACATAGGCTGCTTGTGCTACCAAGATAGCCTATCTTTTAGACAATTTGCATCCTCCTAATCTGTTTTAGATCATTGTTTAAATCTCTATTACCAATTACACTAAATGGTCAATGACAATAAAAAACAAAAAGAATGGGAAAAAGTTTGCTAACTACTATGTATGCTAGCTTACTTTAGCATTTCAATGAGCTTCACATGCATCAAAGCCTTGATAAAAGATATCAGCTCGTTGATCATTTGATTCGACATATTTCAGTGCAACTTGCTCACGTTACAAATAGTCCAATTTAAATTTAAGATATTTAATGTCTTGCTTCAACTATGAAACACGAGATTTTTCATCAAGGCTATTTGGCTAATCTATTACTACGATATATTTTAAATAAGGGAATATAAATAACCAAAAAAACTATTTAAAACATACTTTCTGTATTAAAGATAACCAAGACAAATAATACCAAAAAACACGTCCATGCTGAATAACAATTTAACAAAACACCAACCAAAACTTGTTCTCGTAAAAAATAAACTTGTTCAAACAAACTTTAACTAACAATAACTTACCAAAATTACCCTTCTCCCTCAAGCCTTCATGCGGTTATAGAACTTGAGCTTCTCCTGTGTAGTCTGGAAACGCCCATGTCCAAATTTGGAAGAAGTATCAATAAACTTGAGCTTAATCTCCTCAAGCGCCAGCCTGGACGTCTGTGCCAACAAGGATTGACGAAGTGTCACCACCCTCTTCTTGGGGCCCACACAGCAACCTTTGATCAACAAATAGTCATCCTTCACCACTCCATAGTGAGGGAACCCACCCATTGGAGTTATATCCTTCTCAGTCCTACAATCAAATCATTAAACACAACATTATTTACACATTCAGTCCTCCTATAACATTTATTTACATTTTTAGTCCTCATAAATAACAAACCTGTCAAACTCAGTAAGAGCGGTGTGCGACTCTTGTCCAGTTTTCCCAAGCTTGTAAATCTTCTTGTTCATTTCAGTACGATGATGGTACCCATTCTGCCCGGCTCGGGCAACCGTGAAGGAAACTCGGGCAGGGTGCCACGCTCCGATACACGCCACCTTACGGAGACCTCTGTGAGTCTTACGTGGCAGCCTAGTCACACCCCAACGAGTCACAACACCTTCATAACCTTTACCTTTTGTAACTCCAATTATATCAATCATTTCATCCTTTTGGAAAACAGCATCAATTGGGATTTGCTTTTCGAAAAATCCATAAGCAAAATCCACCTTTTGAGCTATTGTTCCTCCATTCACTTGAATCTCCATAAGGTGTGCTTTCTTCTGCTTCAACCCTTTCATTTTCCTGATCTGGGTGTGGGCTAAGACCCGGATTACAGTTCCATACTTTTTCATTTTCTCAAGCTGGGATTGAATGTCCTTTTTGCCCTCGTCGGATTCAAATTTCTTTGAGTATTTAGCAAATGCTTTCTTCTTGGATTTGCACCAGTTTTTGTAGAATCTTCTCTTGATGTCTTCGCTCAGATGTTGAGCCCAAACAGTGTTCAATGAGCGAAGGCCACGTGGCGTCTTGACATAGGCTACCACTCCAACAACCACCATGGGTGGGGTCTCGATGATGGTCACTGCTTCACATGTTTCCTTCTTGTGAAGCTCTGTGAATCAAAAGGAAAAATGTATCAATCAAGAAACAGAGAAAGTTTCAGACTTTTTTTTTCAAAGATTGAAAAGTAAGTGGAGATCTGAAGAGGGTTTTACTTGATCCAGGCTTCTCGACATCTCTGACAATGTGAGTCATCCCAGCCTTGTAGCCCAAGAAAGCGGTTAGCTTGCATGGTTTGGTTGGGTCATCCTTGGGGAAAGCCTTCACTGTAATGGATATAAGGAAGAAAGACATTGATTAAGATATAACATGATTTAATCATATCAGATTGTGGTTTTAGGTCTAAGATTACAAGTAGTCAAAGTGATTAAGCCAATAGGATTTACGTAAAAGAAACCAATTAAATCAAATTGAAGAGGAAACGTTATTGTTCACATCATAAACCTCAAACTACAAATGAAACATTTTGATGATGATTTGTGATGCAAATAGACATGGCTTTGTTGACACAAAATCGCAAATAAGTTTGTTAAACAAAGCCATAATAATGTAAGTCCTCAATCAAAAAACAGACAATGCGTATTTTAAGTAAAAAACAACAATGTATACCTTTCCCTCTGTGGCGAGCAGCACGCTTCCTGGGGAGAAATCCAAGGGAACCATGTCTGGGGTGCTCAAACTTCCTGTGAGACATCCTACTCTTCCTCCTCCTTCACCTTTAAAGTTAACAAAAAGAAAAAAACAATTACAAACAATACACACCTCAAATGAGCTGTAAATCGAAGTAAAAACAAGCATATACATCTCTAAATCGACGAACACACAAAAATAGAGGATTCAAAATGATTGCAAAAGAGAAATGCTTCTCTTTAAACATAATAAAACTCGTATATGGTCAATTGAAGATGTTCGCATAAATGCAGATCGACTAAATTGCAGAATTAAACGATATAAAGGTTATCATCTATGATTAGCATACGAAAACAGCAACCGAGGATCAAATGTGTTAGAGAGATGTTGAAAGGATGAGAGAACCTGCTAGTTGCTGCGAAGATAGCCGTGCGGCGATAGTTGCCCCAGTGAAATGCAACTAAAACCCTAGCAAATTATATATAATCGTCGTAGTTTCCATTGCACAACAAGCACCCCTAAACTTTACAAAAAGCTCCGAAATTCCCCTCAGTTTTCTAAAAGACACCTAACGGGCTTGGGCTAAAGTTGGTTCTTGTCTTCCTGGGCCAGGGCCTCTAACTCTGTGTGTATTTCAATTTTCAAAGGCAATGTTTACATCATATTGATAAAAATTAGAATTCATTTTATAGAAATAAAAAATACATGTTTATTTTTGTCCAATAAAATAAAATGAATCATCGTTGTTATTGAAGATTTATTTATTTACTTTTGAAACAGCATTTGTTAGGGCCTAGTTGACTATTTTCAAAAGGATTTTACTGTAAAATATGGTTCAACATATTAAATATTTTAACATATTAAATATTTTAATAAGTTTATAATAATAAAGTTGTTAACAATAAACATATCAAAATATGATTCAAGTTCACCATATAACTTGTGGCCTCTTTAATGTTCAAAATAATCATTATACAAGTTAGGGTCTTAAATCCATCACACATTAAATGATTATGGCTTCAACTCTAAAAATTAGGGTTTTGAGTCAGCACACGTATGTTATGCATACCACTTTGTCCATTGCGCATATGTCCATTGCGCATACATGCATGGCTCCACATTTTCCTTGTTCTTACTATACCGTGCATACACTAGGCTTTCCCCCAATGTACGGCTTTAGCTAGCTCCAAACACATAGAGGCCCAACCTCTAAGCCCAAAATAACTTCATGATCCGGAACAATTAAATACATTATTAAATAAATTGGCAATAGCTTGAAATTTTAGAAGAAGAAGCTTCAAATAGACTAACTATGGACACTTATGCAAGTATAGTCCATCCTTGTTATTCTTTTATCTCCCCACCATTTTGGTATTAAACCCCTCCCCACCATATTCCTAACATTTTAAATCTTGCATAGTTAAATAAATTGGTAAATATTCCCATTTTTACCCATTTAAATCTTCAAATAATTGTAAAAGTCTTTTATTCGAGGTTTTACCTCCATAAAAAATTAATTTTTTTATTATTTTATAGTTAATTTTATTTTATTAAATTATTTTTTTAATTTCCCATTTTTTCTCAAAAAACTCAAAACTTTTAGGCCCAAAGTTAAGATGTTACAATTTTTATGTGATGTTTTTATAAGGTCTGAATCCTGATATGTATTTAAATCAAATTAGTCATTTTTGCAAAGGGACTCGACGAGTTAGAGGCCCCAAACTCGTCGAGTAGGAATGGATTTTTGGATGCGGGACTTGAAATCCACTCGACGAGTTGAGAGCCTCAACTCGACGAGTAAGGTGCCAGATTGAAACCCTAATTTTCAGGGTTTGCACCCTATTTAAACACTTTAACCTCCAAAGGATGACCTCATTTGTAGCCTCCATCACTCCAAACCCTAGCCACGAAACCCTAATCCACCTTTGAGTGTTCTTAAGCCATTTTTAGGTGTTCTTGGTGATTTTGAAGCTTGAGGGGGAAGGAGAAGCTTGAGGATTCTAGATGAAGCCAGTAGATCCGGAAGTTGAGCTGCATTTCTGACTCGTTTGAGGTATAAAGTTGATACATTGGCTTTCCTTTGCTTAGATCTTCATTTACGGTTGTATTTTGTTACTTTTGGGCCATATTGAAGTCATTTTCGAGATTTGAGTGTATCATGAGGTTTTGACTTCAGATCTAGACACTCATGAGCTTATGAGACTTAAAGTTGCCAACTTTATCAAGCCTTGACCCTTCCTTATGCCCTAGACCTCTTATATAACTTAGTTTTGGTGTTTCGAGTTTCGTGGCACCATGCATGAACGTAAAGTTAGCAACTTTACGTGGTAACTTAGTCCTAGGGAATCAGATTTATGATTGAAAGCATTGAACTCGACTGGAAACGATTGAATGAGTTCAGCCTATAGGGAACTCGACGAGTTGTTCATGCAACTCGGCGAGTTGGGTCGTGGTCCCCCAACCTTTTCTGTTATTAGGCAAACTCGTTGGGTCTAGGAGATGACTCAGTGAGTTAGCCATGATTTTGGGTTTAGAAGATTGAAGAACTCGACGAGTTCAAGGATGAACTCAGCGAGTTTAGAGGGAAATGTCTCGACTCTGTTATGAGGAAGAACTCGACGAGTTCATGGAAGAACTCGACGAGTTGGATAGATATTTTTAGGGTTTTATGGATCATGGAACTTGACGAGTTGATGGACCAACTCGGCGAGTTGAGTCAACCAGGATGTTGACTTTGACCTAGATATGGACTTTGACTAGGATGTTGACTTTCACTTTGACCACTAACCGGAGTTGACCCTTTAAGGGGTTATGAGTATGAAAGGAGTAATTAAAGGAGATTTTTATATGTAGGAGTTTGAGAGGAGTTGATCCCAGAGTCGAGGACAGTTCAGCTACTACACGACATTTGAGGTGAGTTGTCTTCTAGAAGAAGTGGGTCGAAGGCACCAATGTTGGCCCACTGGTATGAGTTATAGTAGAGATGATTGTCTTTTGTGATAATTATTTGGTATGTCACTATCTGTTATGCTTTATGTGTTAGTATGCTATGATATTATGTGATAATGGTAGGAGGGGTAGGATAAACCTCAGTACTGGTCGATAGGGCCGAAGGGATATGCCAGCACCCGGATAAGCTAGGCAGTAAATGACTTATGTGTTTATGAGCTAGAATGTTATATGGTAGAAGTACGGGTGAAATAATCCCCGGTATCGGTCGAAAGGACCGAAGGGGTAGGCAAGCACCCTGATATGCTAGGCAAGGTACCAGTGGAAAGGACCAAAGGGGTAGGCCAACACCCTGACATGCTAGGAAAGTTATTGGTTGCAAGAGACCGAAGGGGTAGGTCATCACTGTAGCACCTGGTTTCCGGTATGTGAATTTTATTTGAGCATTGCCCTATTTTAGCCTTGGACTCGGCGAGTCATAAGGTCCGACTCGCCGAGTAGGGATGAGACTCAGGACACGTTTAAGTGGGCGACTCGGCGAGTCCATATCCTGGACTCGGCGAGTCACCGCTGCTGGATGAAACCCTAAGTTTCAAGGGTTTGCACCCTATTTAAACCCTCATTCTGCCCCAACTCGTCCCCATTCACCCCCAGAACTCCCCAACATCGTTTTTCCCTTATTTCCTTGAGAGATTGAAGTGCTCTTGGTGTGTTCTTGAAGGTTTTGAGGAGAAAGAGGTGTAGATCAAGAAGAGGAGAAGGAGATCAGGCATCTTTGTGTCATTTCAACATATTCCTTGAGGTATAGCTCGTTTCCCCTCTGTTTTCAAGCTTGTAATCTCTTTTTGCTTCATTGGAGTCCTTCTTGGGCTCTTCCCCAAGCTTGTTTGTGCTTTGTGGGTGATAATAAGTTGTTAGCCTTTAGATCTAGGCATGATCTAGTCCCTGGAACTTGGATCTAATGCCTTTATGGGGTCATATTGCATGAAAGCCCTAGATCTACCCCTTTTGGTGCACTTTGAGCCTTAAAATCCATATTGGTGAATATCTACACGTAAAGTTGGAAACTTTACGTGTGATTTGTGTCCTAGAAGCCCAGATCTGTGAATGGCATGGACTGGAATCGAGCAAATCGGTGTATTTGATGGATGCATGGCTGCGACTCGGCGAGTCATCATATGTGACTCGACGAGTCTGGTCGCGAGTCACTGAACCGGTCCCTTTAAGATGTATCGAGTTGAGCCGTGAGTCACAGGGGGTGACTCGGTGAGTTGGAAGCTGAACTCACTCATGATAGGACTCGGCGAGTCAATGCCCTGACTCGGCGAGTCCAAGGCAATCTTCATAGATCAAGAACAGACTCGGCGAGTTGTTCATACAACTCGGCGAGTCTTAGCATAAAGTGTTCTTCGGATGAAGATGAACTCGACGAGTTGTTCATACAACTCGGCGAGTAGGATGAAGGGTTGAACGTCAGTTTAGAAGATGAACTCGTCGAGTCATAGCCCAACTCGACGAGTAGAATCAGGGACCCAGGACAATAGTTTGCTAGGGACTCGGCGAGTGGAGATCCACTCGGCGAGTCGGGTAAACTAATAGTTGACTTCGATTTGACTTAGGGCTAGACCAGGGGTAAAATGGTCTTTTTACCCAAAGGACAGTTAGCAGTGTATGATTAAGTATATTGTGGGAATTACAGCCGGGGAGTTTAGCAGCAGCAGCAGTAGTAGGTGATCAATTCCCACACAGACCAGCAGCTATTTCGAGGTGAGTTTCCTTTCATTAGTAACGGGTCTAAGGCACCAAGGCCGGCCCGTATAGATGAGACGTTAGTATTATAGTGTGGGCCGAGCCCGTATCTATTAGTCGAGTTGATTGTGATATATACCAGTATGATAGAACTGTTTATACTTGTTGTCTGCGTGATACTTGTATGATATGTGTTGACGGTTGGGTGTGGGCGAGGCCCGTATCCCTCCGAGAATGGAGTGTGGGCTAGGCCCGTATCTCCCAGGTAGCGAAGTGTGGGCGGGGCCCGTATCTTCACGAGTGTGGGGGGCCCGTATCTCTCAGAAAGTGAGGTGTGGGCGGGGCCCGTATCCTCACGAGTGTGGGCGGGGCCCGTATCTCCTAATTGCATGTTATTTGTTATATGTTATATGGTATGGGTATTATGGGGGAGCTCACTAAGCTTTGTGCTTACGGTTTCAGTTTTGGTTTCAGGTACCTCCTCAGCTAGGGGAAAGGAGCCGGCACGGTAGCAGCATGTCACACACACACTCTTCGGTTTCCGCATTTACGAGATTCACTGGGATTGTACTCTGATATTTGATGGTGAATGATGAGTGTGATGTGATTAAAACATGGTTTGCGATGTGTTATGTTGTGACAAACAATGCTTTTATTTATTAATGTTTTCTAAAAGTAATATTTAAAATGAAAATTTTTGGACATGAAAATTGGGTCGTTACAAGTTGGTATCAGAGCCCTGGTTT